CGATCGATACAAGAAGACTGAGAAATCGATCAATACAAGAAGACTGAGAAATCGATGGATACAAGAAGACTGAGAAATCGATCGATACAAGAAGACTGAGAAATCGATCGATACAAGAAGACTGAGAAATCGAAAGATAAAATTCACGACAGGGGTTCAAATAGCAGAAAAAGTTAGGAAACAAGGGTAGTCCCAATAACTTCCCCTCAAACGTACGTTTCATTACCACCAAACAGGAAGGATCTTTGAACTTACCAAATTTTGTCTTTCCACACTAAGACCCAAAAATACGGTTGAGAAATTTCCCCACATCGCTGGCGTCTTTGTCTTTTCACCACGAAACTGGCGTCTGTTACTCCCATGGACAGAAGACATTGCTGTGAAACGAAAGAAAACAGGGCTTTGTTAAACTTGAGAGTAATTCAGTCATTTGGACACCTCGGTAAATGTAATGGACGACCTTCGAGAAAGACTTTCTTCATAAGTCACCACTAATGTGAAACTGGATCACCAACAGCCTGCGTTGCAGATGTGATCTAACCCTTCGGGGAGGGGGTACTTTTATGATTTTTGGGTGGGGATGTGCCGCCGGGACCCTGTAACCCTTAGCCTATACTAAAGCTAGTGCAGCTGAAGTTTTCTACCCTATGCTGGACTAAACTCTTCAAATCCTCCTACGCTAGAGTCGCTTTTATGCTGAGTTGCGTAAATTTAAACTTACCGATTTGATTTTTTCATATTTTTGAGAGACAATTCCAGGTAATGTCTGCGAAACAGCGCCGAGATCCTTGTTCTGGGCCCACAACGGAATCAGCGTTTTGCCGGAAGTGCATTTCCAATTTCTTTTCAACCTGATTGGCAAATGGACAATGGCACTTTTAAAAGGCCAATCATGGCGCGTACTCAAATCCTGGTACACAGGTGGGGCCCAGAACAAGGATTTCGGCGCTTTTTTGTAGACAGACTTAACCAGAGTTTAGTTTCGTCTATGGCGCGGGCTAGACTACCGAACGAAATGGGCGCTTTGTAGTGCTTTAGTCTCGTGGTACAAATACGCCATGCTGAGGAGCAAGAAACGCGATGGGACAAGACAAACAAGGAGCTTACATTTTTCCAAATGCTTATTATTATTATAAACAGGCTACTAATGTATCTCCTGTTTCCACAAAGGTTTCATAAAGCTGTAGAAATTGTTCGTGGTTACAAAACAGCTGTTGGGGTATTGAGTTGCCATTATTCAAGGTCTCTAATTTTTTCCTAACAAGTCATTTTTTGCTGATCGCGTTATATGTTATTACAAAATGACGTTTTTCCTTTATCCATTCCCCACGTGCTGCCCAAAATTTTTATGAAGCAATATCGCTGCCTAACTGCCATATCAAATTGTCTCTGACGTCATAGCTTTTGTTTCCAAATCCACTTTTAAGGAGAGAAATTAAACAAGAATTTTAACCACGTTCGCGACCAACGACGTAAAACTCAATTTTGCGATGGAGTTAAACTCTGTGAATTCATGCTTCGGGAATTTGTGCTGCTAACAGAACCTTAGACAAAGCAACTCCAGGACAAATGGATTGCTGAAAAAAAAAAAAAAAAAAGTTCCTCGTTCAAATAAAAACATTTTCTCGTAGATGACACAAGCAACAAGCACACATAGTTCTAATTCATGACCACTTCCGGCATACCGGTACCGTAAAATCTCACGTTAAAGTCCTGAGCGTATATATCTTTATAAGGGGATTTGGGTGGGCTTACGGTATAGCTTGTGCCAGGCTGTCAGATAGTAGAGACGTCGCGAAAATAACACGCGCGCGATCTGGAGAAGGGCAGTGGCGGGAAAAAAGGGAGAGACTGCCCAACCGCCCCCTCTGTCCCCAGCCCCCACGCATTTTTTTCGCATCACTTTTTACTGTAGGACTGCGCTATTATCTTTTATCCTGAAACAGGCTATCTGACATACCAAAGTAATGGCTTGGTACATGTTCCTGAGTGCAGATCGGCCATAAGGCGTGTCAAAATTAAACTGCGTTAAGTCGACCCCAATCGCTGCTCGTCTGTCTCCTTTGGTAAGTGCACCTGCGGGCAAACAAAACAAAAACTTAAAGGCGCTCTGTCATGGCTGTCTAGTTGAATGGATTGATGTTCTTGGCTGGGAGACCAAAAGAAAACCTACCTTCTTCTGGTTACTAGTCCAGATGCTGGACCACTGTACTACAGGAGACTCGTGAGAGCTAAGGCCACTAAGGGACTAGTCATAATTTAAGTTGGAGGGGGAGGAGGAGAAATTGTTTTTATTCCAAATTTTTCCAGACCCCACTAATAGCACCCATGTTTTTAGGTACCCCCTTCAATCATGTTAAAAGATTTAAGGGCCCCTTTTTTATGCATAATACCCAAATGGTAATAACAAATAACATTTTCTTTACTTTACCGTTCTTACTCACTGTCACTTCCGAATGTGCCAACTAACAACAGAGAAGCACTTCACACTAAACTGAGAAAGAGATTTCACTTAGAGCCTCTCAAACAGCTTATAGAGCAAGGATATACCAGTGATTGTGTTATAATTGAGATAAGACAAGCCATCGAAAGGTGAGAGGCCGACACGACCGCTTCAAGGAAGAAAGAAGATAATCAGCCAAAACTTACTGCTTTTTATATGAGCAGTACATGCTCTAATAGCGAAAAACTTGACGGTGACACAGACAGTGAGTCCGCATCAACCTCATCTACAAATAATGATTCGGATAGTGAGATTGCATAACATGACTTTATGCATGTAATCATTTGTTAAAATGCCGATGAAATTGCTTCAGTGTTAAACAATAATGGATGTTGTGTTGATGCACCTACTATTTGAGCATTAAATCTTTTTGTAAAAATGCTGATTAAATTGTTTTAGTATTACACAATATAGGACTTTGTGTAAAACTGAATCAAAATCAGGTCCTTTAATACTCAAACATCATGCTGCTCAGTAGGGATGCTACTTAAAAGAAACTTGAAGACCCCCCAAGGTCATCTTTTGGCATTTTAAGGCCCCCATATTCCATCCAAAAAATTGAAGGCCCCCAATTTCTCCTCCAACCCCCCTCCAACTTAAATTATGACTGGTCCCTAAACTAGGTTCACGTGACAAACATCTTGCATAATGCTAGGACTAGAATGTTCTAGCCATTCTGCTAGGACTAGTTCTAGACACTCTAGCAGTATTACATGCAGGTTGTTCACACTGATTATACTGCTAGAATGTCTAGAACTAGTCCAAGCAGAATGCAAAAATATCTGCGGTACGCAGTTTAGCAGATGTTTGTTTTCTGCACGTTCTTATAATGGTTAATTACGTGTATAATCTTGTCTGTTTGTGTTTCGGTATTTTTGGTGTTAAGTATTTTGCGTACAGTTATATAAGTGTCTTGTTCATTCGTATTCGTCCTTCGGGTCTGTGAACGCCTAACAACCCACAGTCTGATTTCTTTTTATTGTTTTGAATTGCTCAGCTTATTGAAAAAATTGTTTGTTTTGTTTTTTAGTGATTGAAGTTCGGCTTTTGCTCACGTCTGTTTCTTCATTTCAAAGACCAATCCTCGCAGTGACTGGCTACAATATAGGTGAAGGAAATATTCATTTGTCAATCTTCAGATGAGTGTGATTTGATTTAATTTAGTGTTTCCGAAGAATTTTCCCTGGGGATATCTGTTTAGGAGTTATTTAAGGTCGCTTTAGGTCCTCCTTCAGTCTTTGTGAGTCAAGCCTAGAAGCACCTCAGTTCACTGTTGCTACCATTGCCCACTTCCGAGTTTTTAGCCAATGGCTGTATTATCGAGCCTGGTGAGCCTCCATTCTGAAGGTTGCAGTCGTCATCGATCTTATGCAGTCACGTTATTTGCTACCTCGTTCGATTTAAGGTTGAGTACGAGAATTTTTCGCACCTTATCGCAGGTTCTTAAAGAGGGGCACCGAGACTATGAGTGGGACCTATAATCTGGATTGACATTTCCTTAGATCACCAGAAGTATATAGGTTTTCCTTGGCCCTTCAACGTGTGCTTTGGTATTTCGCTTTCTCGATTTTAGTCTTTGGTCTAGTTAAGCGTTTGTTTTTGTTTTACTGGCTTTCTATGGGTCTGAAGTTTTTTGTTTATCTCGATGACGCATTTGGTAGTCATCTAAGAGGACCTCCGCTGCCCGGTCTAGCTTTTATTGAGCGCAAGGGGCTTATTCTTCCCGTTTCCTTATTGGTAAGGAGAAATCCCAACGGGTCCCAATACTAGTGAGCGAGTGGCTCGGGTTTGCGGTCTGCACCATTTGTTTTGCGTTTTAGATTCCCGAGAAGCAAGTTTTCAGCTAGTGAAGCGGCTTTGGCCGAATTCTGCAATTCAAAATGAGTCATCTTTCTATCGCAAATCAGCTGGGATGGCTGGTTCCATTATTTCTGTTGCCTTAGCGGTGGAGCCCATTCCCCTCTTCGTACAAGCCAGACGAAGGTAGCTATGGAGTCTTCATCGGCTTAGGATCACCTTTCTCGCTTCACTCCCCCGCGGCTGATGGAGTTGAAGTTTTCGTTTTTGTGACATTGACTCTTTAAACGGTAACTCCATTTGGCACCTCCCTTCTCCCCCAATTTTTCCACAGTTGTATTTCCCGGCGCAAGCGACACTTCATTTCGCGGCTTTTCCGCCCTGTGGCTAGCGTTATGTTCACAATCGATTATTTGGGTCAAAGTTCTATTTTTTGCGAATTTGATAGCTATTTAATACTTTATTGTGTTTTGCTTTCTTTTGTAGAGCGGTTGAAGCACAAGAGGGTGAAAATTTTCTCTGACAACCAGAGTGCTGCCAGAGTACTTTTCTTTCGTGTCTTTAAGGTCCATACAGTCGGTGGCTCTAAGCGTTTTTCATGTTTGCTTTCGCATGGTATTGCCTTGAAGCGCAGTGGATTCCTAGATCGCTCACCGGGAAGGCTGATCTTTGCGCCGTTTCATTGACGAGAATGATTCGACAGTTAATCCCTGTGTTTCGAGTCGTTGAAGCCAAATGGGGTCCTCGCACGAATCTTAACCGTTTCACATCCTATTATAGAACGTTCAGCTTCCGCGTTTTGACCCCTAGTTTGCTTCTCCTCGTTGTAGGTGTGTCCGATGCCTTTGTCCGAGACTGGAGTGGAAAGGATAACTGGATTTTCTTTCCAGTGTGTCTGGTAGTGGTGGCCTGATTTGAGCCAGATTTGGCCTTGTATGCCCGGTTTGGCCCATTTGTGCGGCATGTGAGCTGACTGATTCTTCGCTGAGGGATACAGTTCCAGGCCTGACTGGTTTGCAGTTGGATGCTAACGTTCCATCTTCAGTCTTGAAGATACGAGTCTGGCTTATTGTGGTGGCGTGAGTGGGCTTTATCGAAGGCTGGTGTTTCTGCTATTCGAAAAACCTTTGCATGTCTCATTGTATCTATCTAAGTTAGCTTAGCATTCTGGGTAAATGCTAGTTTCCATATCTCAAACCGCCCTTGGATACCTTGTGATGCCTACACAAAGTAATTGCATATATGTATACATATATGAGTGAGCTCTGACTATAGTGATCACGGTTAAGCACTAACAATACTGATTAGGGTTAAGCACTGACCATACTGATTAGGGTTAAGCACTTAGAATAGTGATTAGGATTAACGGTTAGCTTCTTTTGAGGGTTAGGGTTTTTGCTACAGTAGCTAAATTACTCCAATCTCCTGCAGCGAATCTTCGGTGGTCTAGTGGTTAGATTTAGCACTCCGGGATCGTCTCCTGCTCGAATATCGAATTTTTTTTTTCCTTTAAAATTGAAGAGACTTGCACTTTGACGACATTTGTTGAGCAGAAACTAAGTCTCTGAGTCAAGAAACTTAGAAATTTCATGTAAGTGTAAGTGAAAAGGGAGAGGGCGGTTTGAGATATGGAAACAAGTGCTTACCAGCATTCTGTGGATAACACTGGCGCATCTTATTTAGAATCTGCTGTTTACAGTATAAATCGGGGCCATGCAGTGGCTGGTATTTAAGTTTGTTCTGTTAGCCACGCCTTGCTTAAGTTTACTTTTAAATTAGAAGACGCCAAAAGAAGCTAGGCTTGCGCACCCAGTTCAGCCTAAGTAGCTGCTTTCTGTTAGTTTTGTCAGGCGATTGCTGCAGATTTTGCCTCTAAATCGCGATGTTTTCTATCTAAAATATATACATGTAATAGTTTTATGTCGATTTATGTGTCCATGCAAGCGCGAAGTAGATCTATTTTGAACTCTGAGGCCTTGTCCCGTAGCTGAGACCTAGTGTTTTATTAAGTTCTCGCCTTAAACCTGCTCTGCTTTTCCACTAGTTCGTATAATTGTCCATGCTCAATCTTAGGAGTACGGTATGTTATACTTTCATTCTAGTGCAAGTGTTTCTTTATTCACGTTATTTGGGAGAGGTGTTTAAGAGGCATATTAAGTCATTAGTTGGTGATGTTTCTAAGTAAGTACCGCACCCACAAGTGAGCGCGAGTCTGACGCGGCGCCCAATCCAACTTGTAGGAGAACAGCTGGTGATTTGTCGGATATCCACGCCGGTTGGAGGTGCCGCCCCACTAAGCCTGCATAGGCATTTTCAGCATGGTCTTAACGAGCTCTCCGTATCTACAACGTAGGTCACTTTCAGTCCAGGCGCATTTCATAGAGATATAGATGTATTTCAGTACATTTTCCAAAATTTGCGTGTAATTGTTAGCGCTTAGCCTTATCCAAGTCACTTTCAGTCCAGGTGTATGCAAGTTTTAGTATATTTTCCAGTCTACACGTGTAATGGTTTTATATATTAGAAGTTCTGCTTTTTTCTATTGCAGTTCTGAGTAATTTGATTTAGAGATATAGATATATTTCAGTATATTTTCCAAAATTTGCGTGTAATTGTTAGCGCTTAGCCTTATCTAAGTCACTTTCAGTCCAGGTGTATACAAGTTTTAGTATATTTTCCAGTCTACACGTGTAATGCTTTTATATATTAGAAGTTCTGCTTTTGTCTATTGCAGTTCTGAGTAATTTGATTTAGAGATATTGATATATCTCGGTATATTTTCCAGAGTTTGCGTGTAATTGTTAGCGCCTAGCCTTATCTAAGTCCTTACAGTCCAGGTGTATACAAGTTTTAGTATATTTTCCACTGTACACGTGTAATGGTTTTATATATTAGAAGTTCTGCTTTGGTCTATTGCAGTTCTGAGTAATTTGTTTAGAGTCCTGGTGGGGGACGTAAGTTGCGCCTGGCCCGCCCCAGATTTCCTGTGCTTCTTTCCGTACGGGGTTTTTTGGGACAGGTTTTTTCTGGCCACCCTGGCACACTTACATGTAGCTTTTAGTTTTATTTCATTTGCTGTGGTGTTTTATCTTTTGGGTATAATTAAAGTGGGTTATGGCGTTACACCCAGGCCATATCCAATATTCTCCATGATTTGTTGCTTATGTTGTTTCTTGTTTTTCTATTAACTTCTGGAAAGTGCAGAATATCTTAGTGGTACTGCATCTGGACTAGTAACCAGACGGTAAAAGGTTCTACTCTTATTGCGAGTACTTTTCTTTGGAACTCCGTGAGAATAATTAACAATTATTCCTCTCGCCCTCATGGCCTCTGAGTCATGGGCTATTCGGCCGAATGGGCTATTGACTCAGAGGCGATGAGGGCGAGAGGAATAATTGTTTTAGTAAAATCCAACTAGTTGGTCAAAAATATCGAGAAAAAACAACTTTAGCTAGCAAAACGAGATTCAGCCACCACTGTTTTGGTTTTCAAAGCCGGCGCTTTTCGCTACTAGTGGGCTATAATATATAGCCTCGTAGTAGCTCAACCAATCAGAACGCAGCATTGATAATAGACCACTAGTTGGATTTTACTAATTCAGAATACGTCTGATGTTCACGATTTTCCGCGTCTGCAAACATTTAAACATTACCTAACGACTGAAGCCGTCGAGCCACAGCCGCAGCAAATCTTCTTTCACCGCCCAAGTTTGTAGATTGGTCCACTAAAAAAAAAACAAAGAAAACATTAGAGTAAAACTCTCAGGGCCGGATATTAACACAAAGTCAAATTTAGAACAAAAAGCGGAGCTCCCAAGCGCGCCAATTAGACGGTGAACATTATCACGTGATATCTCCTCTCTGACTTAAAAAATGGTAAACGTGCAGCATGAAACCATGGAGTTATGTATACACGCGGGCGGTTTCTAAGCACGAAAGAAGTGTACGCCTCGAGTAACTCTAGCTTCTTGCCCAGGTAACAGCTTATCAAAGGGACAGCAATGTTTATGTTTTGGCAGTACACGTACCTTGTCTGGTTTGACCGGTGTGATCTTCCCAGTTGCTGAACAGCTTTGTCAGCACTCCATGGCAGCTCAATGGTCACGTGAACACGGCGGCACTGATTGGCTGCTCGGAGATCCGCGTGTAACGAGATACCTGTACAGGATAATTAGATATAATTCAACGAGTCTTACAAATGATATCACATAGAAGGTTGTAATTTATATTATTTGGAAAGCAGTCGATGTACCAGGTGGTATAAGACCCCAAGTAAAATATTATCTTGTCTTGTCTTGTCACTTATAGACGGTATTTATTGCGCTTCCTTTTACCCGAGGAAAACTCTTTTAATTCCTGCTTGAGTAAAATTTCAAGTCGAGAAACATCAGTCTAAAGTTCGAGTTTCTGCACGAAATTCCAAGCAATGGCAACACAATTGAACGCTAGCAGGCATTGAGCCAGCGATTCTTTGCGTGAAAATAACCAAAGGTTGCCCTCAATTTTCAAGTATCAAAAGAATTTAAAAAGTGCAAGGTTTTATCTAAGTAACTTCAACAGACAGGGTTCGTACAGATTCTTGGATCCAAAATTTACGACTTTTTCCAGACTTTTTCTAAAACAATATACTTTTTTTTCCAGACACAAGGAAAACAACTGGGTGATCAATAGAGACCTTGAAAAACGCAGGAACCAAGCTTTTTTCATGACGCACTGCAAACGTACGGTAACCACGGTGCAATGCGGACATTTTAAAACTTCTCATTCTGTGATTACATGTCTTCAATGCGGGCGAGATTGAATAAGATTTGACCACCGGGAAAAAATTCACTTATGAAGCACTTGTTGTAGCTTTGAAAAAAAAAAAAAAAAACTCCAGACTTGTAAATAATTTTCCAGACTTTACCTCAACTTTCAAGACTTTTTTCACGTCTGGAAAATTGCTGGGTAAATTTCAAGAATTCAAGACTCTGTACGAACCCTGAAAAGAACTAAGATGCAAAGGGAACTTACCAGTGCTGGCAGTATCAGATATAATTGCAACAAGTTTTGTTCCATTCATAAAACTGTTCCTCTGTGATACAATGCAATCGAAAAAACAACGTTTAATGTTCAGTTATACTCGAACAACCCTCTTAAAATTGTGGTATTAAAGAGACAATCCTTGAGCTTCAAGCAATTGCTTTATGCGGACTTAGTTGTCATAGCGAAAGCGAAAAATACTGGGGAATGAAACGAAGATCCAAAACCGGATTGCTGCCTGAATTTACGGCATACATAAGAGTCTTATTCAGATTTAGAGTAAGAATTTAAGGTTGGACTACACTAGTAAAGTTAATCCCAGGAACAAGTAACAAAAGCAAGAACTAGGCTGTCCTTTTCGCGCTGAAACGACGTTCCTGTTTTTAAATGTAAGGGACAATCGCAGAGTTCATCCTCGGAGACCCAGGGGCAGTAAGTCAGGTCGGTAGAAACGGTGCGACGAGTCGTGCGACGAAAGTTTTCGACCTGGCTGCCTGCTCCAGGGTCTTGGCCGAGGATGACGTCTGTGCTGATGACTCTAATGACCGACTGTAAATCGCATTTTCTACCATTTCATTCGGAACACAGCGCAAGATTTAGTTCTGATTACTTTGCTCACCTCTTGAATATTCAAACTATCCACATTGCTGCTGTCTGATTCTCGAGCCTCGTAATGAGGTCGAGGCTGCTTGTCAGTTTTTACCACGCGACCACGCCTGCCTGTCATTTCTGCTACTTTTCCTGGTCCTCCGAGCTGGTTTATAAGGTCATCAAGAGGACTAGAGACAAAAATAAGTCACAAAGGTACGAGGGTAAAGTCTCCGTTCGAGCCAGGTAGCCCATTTGGCCGTAGCACATTCCGATCTCCATAGCATGAAGCGACTAGGAATATTTTTGCTCCTCCTTGGACGGGATAGTAGTCAATAACAGGATCCCTCCCACCTCCACCCAGGATTAAATCTTTTGGTACCCAAATTTATACACCTGGGTGGAGTGAGACAGTGTCCATAACAGGATCCTTTCCATCCCCACCCAGGATTAATCCCAAAAATAATGCGGCAAATTTGTTATTTAAGAATATTTTTAAGCACTGAAACTGATTTCTGTCGTCTGTTGCAACGGATGGCAAGAATGGACATGGATTTAAACTTGAAAACGTTCTACCAAATTGTTCAAGTTTTAATACTATGCCTGTAACAATCAACAAAAAAAATAGTGGTTAGTGCTCCATGATTAAAAATTTGTTTGCTATTTTCCGTGTAATTCCTCAGGAGCATTTTGTATTTAGGTTAAGGTGCTAAGTAGGGACTCTTGCACAGCATTGACCTAAAACAGCAAAAGCTCATCCTAGTGAGACAGGCTCTTTAAAAGGGTTTTAAAGAATATAACATTGATACAAACCTGATTGGGAGATTAATTTTCTTGACAAAACCTTGTAGAAGATTTTTAGCCTGAACACTCCACTGATCTTCAACAACATCGCCATTCTACACAAAGAACATAATAGCCTTGATTTCTCTCTTTTTTTAAAAAAAAAATTACTTAACTTCACATTACCCGAAACAAAAATAAGGCCGGGAAAGTTCCGTGGCTTATGAACCATAACAGGAGAAGTACCATCAAATCTTTGAAATGTGGAACGCAGAAAGTGTGGCCTGTAGAGCAAACATTTTTTTAACTTAAGCCTAGAGGTACAAATGTATATTGATCGCGTCCGCCATCTTTAATCATTTTTTCACTGACGCCAACTGAACAGGTGACTGAACTCTCTGTCAGTTTCAATATCCCAGATGGCGGGAGAACAGTCACCCTACAAAATACGCCTGCTTTGCAGGTTACAGAAAGTGTATTAAGTAATGTTGAGTATAGAGTGGATTTTCAAAATTATCCATTCGTTGTGTGATGTACCATCCTTGAGATTAGCCTGCAAAGCTGGTGGAATCAGAGCGCAGGAGTGCTTTTCAGCGGCGCTGAAGTCGCAAGGGGAAAGAGCAGGGTTGTAATTAAGGGTCCAGGACGGGGAATTTCCCCTGGGAAATAGGAAATACAAGGAAATAGAAGGAAAAATGAACATAAAGAACTTCCCAGATGTAAAAATCCCCGTCAAAACTTTGCATAAAAATTATACCTGGCAACTTAAAATCTTAGTGAACGGACCTGAAAGAGAGGTGTCAATTTGACTTATCATCAATCATCTCTGATCTTCAAAGCCAGAACAAAAGCGCTCGTGAAATTAAGCACTCGCGTGAGTTAAATCTCACCAGCTAAGCAGGGTTTTCAGAATTACTCACCGATTTGATTATCTGAGTTGGAAAATACTGCTTGATAAACCTGCTAATGATTTCTTCTGTACTTGAGACAAAGCCATTCAGTACTCCACCACAACGCGATATTTCACTTTCCAAACTTGCCTGACAAATAAAACAATGACTTAAGCCAAACTCTATTCAAGCAACTACTTTCTCATGATCATTGGGGAGTTTAAGCAACGACGACAACAACAGTAACAAAAACGTCTCCTAAAAAGGGAATTCATGCTGTTTCAAAATTCCTCGCTGTTATTCCATGTCGTTGCATTTGTCAAATGTTGGTGAATTTTTCTGGAGTTGAATTCGAAGGGACATATAATATTATCTAAGTTTAAAAAGTATTTTAAAAATGGTTCTGTTGTGCTATGGCTCGGTCAATAAATCAAGGCCTTGGTCTGAGACTTCCCTGTAACGACCCCACTCTTGGTTAATAAGTAGTAAGTAAATAACCGTCGGTCATTGAACAATACCTGAGTAAAATTATCAAAAATGGCCCATGTCCTACGAAATCTAGTGACCTGTGGTCGATCATGCCTTCTGGACAAAATTGATAGTCTTGCTGTAGCCTATCACTTTCCAGATGAACAAAATCCGCCTTGACAGGTGAATTGCTGGACCAACGAAATAACATTATTGCAGGGAAAATACGATGGCCATTATACATCCAGCGGCCAAATCCAGCAATTTGCAGGAATTCTTTATAGACGAATTGTGCGTTCTCGATAGAATCCAACCATTTTTTTTTGTTTTGTCAAACATAAATACTGCGTAGACCGTACATACGTCCTTAAGGGTCATAAAATACTTGCAGCGATAGCCTTGCATCAAGTGCATCCACTAATAGAACCTACAATGTTATGTGAAACTCTCTATACAGTGTGAGGGGCGAACAATTATTTGGTACGTACTTTCTACTAACTTTGCAAGAAGTTCTCAGTGTCTCAAACATTACTTTTTAAACACTGGCTGACCTTGAAATAAAAAAAATTTTATGTTATCAGAAACTGTAACCTTTTTTTGAGTGGATACGAAAAAAAATTGGAGAGAAAGAGAAAACAAACCTCTCCAGTGGACTGGAGACCAATGACCACACAATATCCTGCCTGCAATGCTTGCTGGGCTTCTTCCACTATGGTAGGAACTTTCATACTCATGCTGTAAAAATATTCATATACATCTTATCTGTTATCAGACCCAATATAAGCAAGGTTACAAAGTAAAAATGCCTGCTGGCGCTTTAAAGTTGAACATGATACTGGCAAAATTGTCCCATGTGATCATTATACGTTTCTGGGAAACTACCCACATACCCCTCCCCTAAGCCAACATCAACACTTACTTCTCACTTAGGGCAAAATGTTAGCCTAAGGGAGGAGTAGGTGGGCAGTTTCCCAGAAACGTATAATGATCCGCCCAGGATCAGGTAATCCGGATTTCGGAATCCAGGAAAAATTTTCATGTGATAACCGGAATCCTGGACTTTGGAATCCGTAATCCCGCTAACGATTGGAAATCCCAAATCCAAGTTCCAGTGATAACAAATCCGGAATCCACAGCGTGCAATCCAGAATCAAAGACTGTCTTGGATTACGTTACATTGCCACTGTCACGAAGCCGTTCAAAAACTATAATTTCATTCGCTCTACCAGGTACGTAGCTCTACTATTTCAGGGTTACGGTTTGTTTCCGTTGCTTTTTCATTAATTTCTCACGCAATCCTGGTAGCTGTTCCAAGAGCTCCCAAGCGGCCCACGAATATAGCCATTTCCGAGTTGCCTCAAGCCTCTATTTCAAAGAGAGGCTAAGTGCGAAGCCATTGATATGAAAATGATTTTTTTTAATTCTTATACAAATGAAATTCATTTATTTTTTTTTAGGTTTTTTACTGAACCTCGCTTGGACATGGGTCGGTGTTGAGTCGAACTGCACTATGGGACTGTTTTGGGGATGAATTTTGATCCAGTTTCCCTCGTAACCTCGTAATATCCAATAAAAAGGCGATAGCGTCTGCAAACAGTACCACAGTACCATTGGAGACGATACCGATTTAGTCTTACGTATAACTTTAAATAGGCCGATGAACTAGCATCAAGGACAACATTACTGGAAATAAGAAGGCAAAAATGTTAAGGTGAAACTTAAGGTCGACTATTTAAACGAGGTCTAAAAATCAGAGCGCCTCCTTATTCGTTTGTAGGGTATTGATTTTAAGTAGATAAATGGTTTTCTAATTTAGGCTGTCGCCTTCTTGTTGATGTGAACAGCAAACGATGACAAGGTATGAGCGTTAGAACGGTTTTTGTTAAATAACGTTTAAACTTTGTTGTAATATCCGCCCCTAAAGGACCAGAGACGGGATTAAATACTCACCAGAGCTGTTTGAAGAACCGCTGATGACAGGACCAAAAGACTGACCACACCCTTGGTGTAGAAGAGGGTCGTACAGGGGGGGTCTCTCGCACGGTTCACGAACAGAAAAAACAGCGAATCACGGATCTCGGCTATCAAAATTTCATTTTCCCGAATCACGAAAATAAACAAGAAAGGTACTCGTTTTAATAACCTCTTACGGTAGAAAGAGTGTTTGAAGAAAGCAAAATCGTTAAACGCCAAGTAAAGGCTGCTTATCGGAAATCACATACCTAAATCACTCTCGATGGACGACTCTGACCATTCGTCCACTTCGCGTTGTAACTGCCCGAAGAAACAACAAATCGTCTAGAGAATCTACCTCGTAATTGTCAGCAATAGGATATTCAGCGTCTGAGTCAGTGTCATACTCTTCCTCCTCTTCTACCTCGGCTTCCTCTACTACTTGAACATCTTCAATGGCGTCGTGCGATGTAGAAGGCGTAACAGTCGTAGCAGAAGTAACAGTTTCCTCTTCGACAGTGTTAGGGCTGAATGAGACTTTATCTTTAGGATAGTCTGATGTTCTGTACATGTTTAACGGCAATGTTCCGGCCTTGAACATGGTGGTCTCCATGTCTCGGATGTTTCGATGTTTTGGATCACTGTCCTTTGACCTCCAGATCCAGTGGCATAGGAGACCATAGGCATAGGAATAGACATCTGATCCATAATAGGCATGATAGTCATGATAGGCATGTAAAGCACGTGAATTTGCAGAATGGATTACTTTAATTAAAGCGAAGTCTGTTACTTGTCACATGCACTCGCATCTCAAAATCACGCCAAACAGAGTGGTGAAATCACGAATATCGGTTAAAAATTCAAGTTCTTCACGGGTCACGCAAAACCTTCAGATCACGGATCACGAAGAATAAATTATTAAATTCACGTTTCACGGAAAATAAAATCAGCCAATCACGCATCACGGGAATACCCCTGTACGACCCTCGTAGAAGGGGTGGTGCGACCAATGGCAAATTCTAATGACTTCTTTAACTCGCTCCTTTAAAGAGAAAAGGAAAAAAGCTGAAACATATTCACACTATGATTGTGAAACATACACACAACCGTTAATTCTTAGAATACCGACTGTGATTGTTGTTTTGCTTTTGCTTTGACTCAAACAAACGCACAAGTTTTGAGTGCAATTTCTACGAAATCGCATAAGTTAATCCCGGAGCCCTGGTACAAGAAACCACTGAATGATTCCATCTTAAGTTGTGGTCTACTTAAAGCAGTTAATACGAAGATTTAACCTTTTTACATTGCCATACGTACCAAACGTGAACTGCAGTGTCATAAACCTTTCTCTGTTCCGCAGTCAGTGTCGCCTCAACATTAACAAACTGCAGAAATGCGACAAAAAAGCATTATCAAAGTTTGTTAACAAAAAAGGAACAGAAGTGAAGTAATAAGCACTGCAAAAAAGCCTTATATTTCAGTATGATAGGAAAACTTCTGCTTACAACAGAAAATTACGATGCCATTTCTAAAATAATGCATTACCTCAGCCTGTCTGAAACTAAGACCTCTAGAAACGTACATCCCTGATGCCTTCATTTCTATAGCTAACATTTCAGAAGCACCTGGAAAGATTTTAAATATTAGTGACCTTGAGATACATCGTTTCTGCCGATGGAGAAGTGTAAGCTCCTGTTCCAGGAGTTCAGATTGTGAGGACGATGCAAGGAGATGTGCGCAGAAAAAACAGCGAGGAGTGGGGTAGGGAGTGAGGGCGAAATTCCTTCCTCTCTCTCCCTCTTTGTCTTTTTTTTTTCTTCCCGTTCTCTAACTTCGCACCACACTCTACTATTTCAAAGCCTGGGACAGGCTATATAAAAAAACGACCATGATTTCCGAAACGTGGTAATAGCATCGCCATGGCGCATCACCGTTCTAGCCACTAGCCTAGCTAGCCGTCTCTCAACGGTTATAGTACAGGTGGTCTACCCATAAATTAGGCTAAGGTTTCGAGTAATTTACCAGAGCCGGTACAAGGACGCGCTGCACCTTAAGATCTTTAACACTCTTATCACAGCTAAGCATTGTACGGCAGGCAGGAGTTCTTCGAAAAATGACCAGAAACGAACATGCATTACTTCCCCTTGGCTTAGATCGAATCATTTGATAGCTTTCTTTTTAGAGTTCCAAGTTTGAAAAAAGGTGACTGAAAATATTTAGTTACAATTTCAGCTCAACTTTGACAAGAATATGGAAGTCATCTTGATATAACCCCTTTATCCTATTGCGTACCAAACGTGATTAACATCAATTTTCTCCTAAAAATATCCATACATCATTACAAGAAAAAGTTTAGAGAATTCATAAAATAATCATTAAAATCTCTTCACTAATTCTTTAAGGAAAGGTAGGGGGATCAGTCGGGAGAATTTGTATGTGGATCATTGGGGCTGAAAATAGACTACGACCAGCCTCTCTTTTTCTTCAGATTTAGTGAGGGGAGTGCACGCGCGCGAGAGAGCGTTGCGCGTGGTCATGTTGCGCGTCTCGCGCGTTTTGCTCGACGGACTAAGAAAAAAGAGAGAATGCTCGTAGTCTAGGCTGAAAACTATGCCACTTACCAAGACCTCTCTTAGTTATGCTGGCTAGAAAAGAATCAAACGATTTAAATGCTGTTCCATCTCCCCATAAACCAAGTCTCTCCATAAATGCCTGGAAATAATCAAATCACTGTATCAGTGTACTATATTGATTGACCATTGGACTGAATGGGAACATTGTCAGAAACCTAAGGCTTCTAGACATGGTTGCCGTCGGTAGTAATCTCTCAGCAATTATTGTAGGGTTTAAAAACTTCATGCAACAAGAGTCTTTGTGCTGTTCTACTGAGTACCTAGAAATCATGTACCTTAAACCACAGTTTAATACCATCAACTGAGGTGATACAACTGACTTTGACCCTGACACCCTGTCCACACGTATCCGGATATTTTCGAAAATGGGGATTTTTTTCTCGATTTTCCAAAAAAAAAATAGGCGTCTACATGAATCGTATTTGAATCGTTTTCGCCTGTCCACATGAAAACCCTAAAACGATGGAAAGACGATAGCAGCCCTTATAGAGCATGCGTAATGCTAGTAGCTAGTAGTATATGGTGCATGGCATAATCGTGTTTACAAATCTCCGTTTTCGACCGCCCACTTTAAACGAGAAGCCAGCGTTTTAAAAAATCTTCACTATGGGTCTGTTTTTGAAAAGGCCGTTTATGTGTGGATGGACGCAAGAATGGAGAAGAAAGTCTTCATTTTCAAAACTATCCGGATACATGTGGATAGGGCCTGAAGACCTGTCAAAACGTCAATCACTGTCAACAACAGTCCTGTTCAGTACACTCATCCCGATGATCATATAATTAACGTCGGCTGCATCTAAGGGTGTACACGTGAGGAAAAAACATGTTCTGATTGGCTACAAACTTACCTTTGGCTTGACAGTTTGCTTTAACGGCTGTCAAACTTCAGATGTTTGGCGGCAAAACACGTCATGTCTGGCGCTCTATTAGAACAAGTTTTTTTTTGTCTCGTGTCCACGCTCAGATGCAACCGACGGTATTTCGCCTTAAAAAATCTTTGTTCCCAGGTACAAGATCAAGTCGCAAGATCAAGTTTCACTTTAAAGTTTTAACATTGTACAGTGGCATAATATAAGATGCTAACTGCGTACAGCGTACTTTTAAAAGGTACATGCCAACTTTACTTAGTGCACTGTTTGCGAAAAACTAGTTGGATACCTTTTAATAGTAACATGCTGTTTCCTGACACTCAGTCAAAATCACGCTATTGTCAATGATATAAAAATAATACTTCACTCTACACCTACCATATTTTTTACATCTGTCACACCAGTTGCTCTACAGTACACAACACGAGCTTTGGGTAGCATTCTATGAAGTGAAAAAAGAATAAATCTTTAAAAGCAGTTACTGTAGGGGAGGGGGGGGGGAACTCTGTAGAGACGGTAAGGAGGTCAGGTATAGAGATTTAACAATTATTCCACAAGTGCGTGTTGGATATGAGTTGGCTATAATTATCTCATATCCTATAAGCTTCAGTGAAATAATTGTTTTATTAAAAACGCCCGCAAAATATCGAGAATTCTTCCTGACTTTATTTGTAAAAACAACCGATTTTCAGCTGGTTTTTAATATTGAGCAGACGCGTACGGTTACTTTTAATCAATTATTTGCAGAGCATGGTACAATGGCTCACATACCATGATGGCTAAGCCAACAGAGCTCTAGAATTGCATTATCCAATGATTCAGTTTTTAATAATAACTATTACATATTCTAATATTTGTATTGAAGGGTGTGTGGAACAACGGCTTTTATTGACACTTGACATGATATCAAATCCTCCTTTCATATAAAATGTACATGAGCAAATGAATGGAGTTTGCCAAATGTCCCTTAGGGTTTTATTCCATGCTCATTAGGCCCGTAGCCAGGATTGTTTACGGGGAGGTGTGATTCAACAAGCAGACAGACCGAACGAGGCCAGGGGGGTATTAGGTTGACTGAGACTGCATTTAGAGCGTTTTTAAGGCAGTATGACGGTATGATATAAGAACATGCAGCCAAAAGCGAACTGTGGATATTTCACAAAATTTTTGAACTTCAAAATTGATACTTTTGGCAGAGCCTACTTTATGTGTGTATTTTAAAAAGTACACCTCCAGAGCCTGAGTGGGGAGCTCAAGGGGAAGGGGGGTGGGGGGTGGGGGTGGGCGAGCTCACTTGTCACACCTCCCCTCCCAACGTTTCTGGCATCAACCCTGGGAATTGAACTCGAGCTGCATTGGTGAGAGGCAAGTGCTCGATCACAACTGCTCCATCCCTGCTCCCTGCTTCTTTCAAATTGTAAAATTATTAGCACTTTAATTATTACATAAGAGTGTTAATTACATGTTGACAATTGATATTCAAAGATGAAGTCAAATAACTTTATCATACCTTTGTATTGTTGTGACAGCAAGAGCAACTTTTGTGCTGGATTCTTCTTTGCCCTAAAATGAAATAAGCTACAGTGAGCAGAGTACTTAGTTGAATCCATGACTTGTAACATCTGTCGCTGGTGTCAATATGCATCACTGGTCACTGAATTTGTGTGGAGAGTGTAATGGTCGTGCATTTGTTAATGAGTGTAACAAGACCAATTCCATTCTAAAGAAACTCAGTGCCCAGCCATGCTTTATGCGAACTGTATGTAATGTAAAGGGAACACAAACTGTTGTCCTCTCATCCACTTCATACGAAACGTAACTTGTATAATGATGATCAGATAGTGGCAGTTTCTAATAAACCATGCTTTTTTCCCTAAATAAGGGATTTACATGTATTTGTTGCAGTTACAAATACAAAGAATAAGGGCTAAACTACTGTAAATCACTTACAGGAACAAAATGCTTCGCTTTATGACACTCGTCAAATATGAGGCATCCATTAAACTGCTCACCACAACACCAGTCTATGAGCTGTTGCAATCTGCTTTGACGATTGGCACCTGTCCAAAAAAAAAAAAATTATAAAACAGATCAACAAAAACAGGAACCTTGTCTATTGTCAGTGATAGATGACATTCACACTACACGCTCACCTTTTTGAACAGACGACACCAGTGTTGCATATGTACTGAAGACAACACCCTCTTTAAAATCAGCAGGTATGCCAAATACTCTGCAAAACAAAATAATGTCAATAGTATTGGATTTGTTTCAAAATTCCAGCTGATCTATAATTATTGTCAAAGAAATCAAAGAATATTGCTTCTATAGAGAGGAGATGTGTGATGCCATGTTACCATGGAAGCAAAATTTCTGGATCACAACAATAATCTTCCTTGACAGAGACGGATGGCTATGTATTGTCAAATGATGGAAGGAAAATACCAGCCACCCTTTCATTCCTAAGCGCAATAATGCACAAAAAATTTTTTGTTGTTGTTTTTTCCCCACCATATTGGCAGGACCACGGTTTGTTGAGACCCAGAAATTTTGCTACCATGGTAGTGTGACTTCTCCTCTCTTTTACACTGTAGGAAGCAATAGTTGGCTTGGAAACATTTTGGATCAAATTATCACTTGGGGAAAAAAATAATAATACACCTGAATTGAAGGAAAATGAAAATTAATGCAACTTGCATGCACAGATTGGTTTGAAAAAGAACTCTTAGAAAATAATTATTAAGAAAAGGAATTTATGTACCTTGTCCAAGAATATATTGTGTTACATAATGATAACAACAGACACCAGCCAGTGTAGATAACTTGTAGTATTCAGAGAAAGATTTAAAAAATTCCAAAAGAGAGAGAACTTTGAGCATTTCATCCAAAAATTGAGATTCTGGAAGACAGACGTTGAGAGAATTTTTTCTGAAATTTAACAAGATTTAAGACAAAAAGGCAGGGGAGGGCATGGCCCTTCTAGCCCTACTCTAAATAATGTACCCGTGGTATTCGAGTTTGTGTACCTGGTTTCTTTATCCAGCTGCTGACAACCGTCTATCACTTTGACAAAACAACCAATGTCATGTAAATCTCTGACAAATGAAAAACAATAAGAAATTTGTCAGTTTCTAGGGTTATAGTATTTTACAGCTATACAGAGATAGTAATCACCAGCATCCCTGATTTCATAACAAACTGCTATAGGGATTCACATCATGAAAAATCTTTCACAGTCCAGAATCAGTGAATCCAAATCCAAAGCCGATTTTATCGATTTTATTGGATCATTGGTGTGGAAATGCTTCTGAATATTCCTTCCAATATTACCCCTGGACCATTTTGTTCTAGTGCATGGGTGAATGGGTTACATGTAAAAGCGCCAAAAAAATGCGGAATTATGAACTTAATGCTGCAGTGATTTTGTTACCCCTGCCTGTGCATCCTGTGCCCCTGATGTATCAAATCTCCAAAGATGCAAAATAATTTACTGCCCGCACCCTGTAGGATCGACTGAAGGACCAGAAGATGATTTTGAAAAAGAAAATCCTGTTTATGACTTCTAATCTGTAATAAAACCTACCTTGTCAATAAGTCATAGAGAGCAGACTTTTCAAAAGGTATTTTTTGAAAAAATTCCCAGGAGTGAAGGGGTTAAAATCATTGACTTAAAAGGTCAAAATTCCATTGAATACATAATCAGACTTTCCCTTGCGAAATGAATTCCCAGAGTTCTGGGAATTCCTAGGAATTCCTAGGAATTCCTAGGAATTCCAAGTTATTCCAAGACATGCAAATGAGCAAAGATAAAAACCTTGGAATATTTGGGAATACTTGGGAATGGGTTAAAACACCAGTGGGAATTTTTGGGAATTCCTAGGAATTCCCAATAATTCCAAGTTTGAAGGAAACTGTCTTTGGAACTTATGGGAATTATTGGGAATTGCTAAAACACCAATGAGAATTTGTGGGAATTCCTAGGAATTCTCAATAATTCCAAGTCATTGTTAACTTGGAAACACTGGCTTAATTTTTGGGAAAAACCGTATAAGTGTTCAAAGGTAATAAAAAGCGTAAAAAATTTTAATAATCATTTCTTTAATTGCCTATAACAACAAGGATTTCTTGACATTAACCAGCATCTATATACAACATTTATTGCGACTTAAATCTTTAAAAAAAATTATCAACAATAAGCACGATACTGAAAGCTTATTCAAAGAGCCACTGCTTCTCGTACCTGAGCTTTCCAAACATGCCCACAACACGTTTTTCATCGCGGCTTTGCCTAATAAAAGGTCATCGCTTCTTGAAAAAACAATACGAAGTTTTCCTCTCGCTGCTTATACCTCAAAAGCGTTGGAATATTTTATTTAGCTCTGAAAACGACCGCTTTTTTCAACATGCTCATCATCGAGCAAAATCATCCGCCATGTTTGAGCTATACTGGTTACCAGTCTCCCCACTAAGTGAACTGCGTCATCACGTGCGCCTTTTGAACCAATGGAAAAGTGTGAAATGAAGTTCCGTTTGGTGAGTTCAAATTCACGCGGACTTTCATTAGCAAGAGCACAAGTATTTTGCATCCGAAATTGACGTTATTTTAAACGCGGATTGTTCATTTATTTTGTTGTTGACACATGAAACGTGCTTCTAGTCATGTCCAAGAACGATAAGTCAGCTGGATTGTGAAAGGTAAAGGTACGTTCCTGCTTCGTAATGTGTCTTCTGATGGTAACCACGTACTCAAATAATGAAGCTGGAGATCAAAGTGAAATTATAGATCGTTCCGATATATGAACACGAAACTTCAAGATGGCATGGAAAACCATTTATTGGTTCCTTTTTGTTTACTGGAGACATAACTGTAGTCGTTGTTGCAAAAGGTTGATGGAATTCTACGTGAATAAGCTAATACTCGATCAGATTCTGGCGGATTTAATACAGTAGAACCTCGATAACTCGAACTCGGATAACTCGAATTCTCCACAAAGTCGAACTAAATTTGCTTTCTCTTGATCAAGATTTCACTGAAATTTACCCCGATAACTCGAATTCCCCACTTAAAATCGAACTATTTTTCGTTTCCCTTTAGAGTTCGAGTTCACCGCCGGGGTTCTACTGTAGTCATGAACAAGTATGTTTAAACGCCATGTACTACAAGTATTTTAGTTTCCAGTTCATTATTTTGTTCTCAGTTTGAGTCCTGAATTAAAAGAGCGGCTTAATAAGGGCTTAGCAGATAAGCTTGCTGGAAGCAAGTTGGCCTGACTTTTTCTTTTTTTACATATATGTTCCCGCTGTAAAATGAATTCAGTCAAGACTCTTTTGCTGTATTATTCCAGTTACAAATGTGTCCCTCAATTTTTCAATAATGACTCAAGAACAATTTATATCTCAGGACTTTAATTGTTTTATTCAATTTTTTAAAAAACAACATG